CTGAGCACTTTCGTGAAGAGTCCAACCGAGCCGAATCTCCACCTCCTCCTGCTCCTGCTCCTGCCTCTCCTCCTCCTGATCCTCCTCCTGCTGCTCCTGCTACTGCTACTGCTCCTCCTGTGCTGCTGCCCCTCGCGGCTCCAACTTCGAATCCGACTCCGGCGTCCCCCCTTCTCCGCTCCCCTCTCCCCCTCGCCTCCCCCTTCCGCCGCTCCCCCCCCGTGCTCCCCTCGCCACTCGCCCCCCTCCTGCTCTCTTTCCCCGCTCCATCCTGCCCAGCTCTCTTCCTCCTCCTCCTCCTTCTCCTCCTCCACCTCCTCCACCTCCTCTTCCTCCTCCACCTCCTCCTCCTCCTCCTCCTCCTTCTCATCCTCATCCTCATCCTCTTCCTCCTCCTCCTCCTCCACCTCCTCCTGCTTCTCCCCCTCCTCCTCCTCCTCCTACTCCTCCTGCTCCTCCTCACTCTTCTCCTCCTCCTCCTCCTCCTCCGCCCCTCCTCCTCCTCTTCTTCCTTCTTCTCCCCCTTCGTCCTCTCCTCCTCCTCCTCCTCCTCCTTCTCCTCCTCTTCCTCCTCCTCCTCCTCCTTCCTCCTCCTCCTCCTCTCTCTCGTCCACCGCCTCCTCCTCCTCTTCCTCCTCCTCCTCCTCCTTTTCTTCCTCCTCCTCCTCCTCCTCCTCCTCCTCCTCCTCCCCTCTTTTTTGCCTCCCCCCCCACCCTCCTCTCTGCCCCCTTCTCCTCCTCTCTGCCCGCTCCCTTCTCCTCATGCCTGCTCCGCTCCTCCTCTCTTCCCACTCTCTTCTTCCTCTCCTCCTCTCTGCCCCTTGTTCTCACGTACCCCTACTCCAACCTAGCCGACCGATCGCGCCCCCATTCGGGCCCTCCCACCCTACCTGCGTTGCGACATGCGCGGCAGGATGGGGCGCGGCGCATATGCCGCGCGAGAGGTCAAGATGTTGCTCTCGCCACGGCGCCGCGTTTTTTCCCTCTGGGAATTAAGCTTCCGCTCGGGTGCGGCGCACACTTGTCGTTCGCCAATTCGTCGGCGCGCGAACGGAAGAACATGTCGTTCTCGCCTCGGCGCCGCGCAGATCTCGTCTGAAAATGGCGCTTCTGCCTCGGCGCGGCGCACGCTTTTCACTCGCCAAGTCGTTGCGGGCGGGGCCCGCGTGCGAGCGGGCGATCCGTCGCCTTCGTGTTCGCTCGTGTGGAGGCTTCGCTTGGAAGTCGAGTTCCCGCGTTGGCGCGAGGCATGTGTCGCCCTCCAGATACCAGCGGGTCTGCGCGCGAGAGCGGGCGAATTGGCGTCCTCGCTAAAGCGCCGCGCAGTTTGTGTGTGTGTGTGTGTGTGTGTGAGAGAGAGAAGCATATTGAAATTTTGGCCGCCCGAGACAGGGCTAAATGGTACTCTTGTCGCAGCGCGGCGCAAGGATTTTCTGATGTTCCGCCCCCTCCCGTGCATGGCCCGCGTTTCTTTTCCCCGGGGGGGAGCGTTTTCCAGTCCCATTGTCAAATTCTAGACGCTTCGCGTATCCCCACCAGCCCGTCCAGAAACGACGCCCAGGCGAGTAGAGGGTCGTCCTGAGGGGCTTTTCGGCGTCTTGGGTGCCTCGGGGGGGCCTCTGTGGGCCGTTCGGGATCCTCTTTGGGGCCTCCTGGGGGCCTCTTGGGGCCTCTTGGGGCCATCTTGGGGCCTTTGGGGGCCTCCTGGGCGCTTCTTGGGGCAATCTTTGCCCCTTGGGTGCCTCTGGGGGGTCTCTTGGGGCCTCTTGGGGGTCTCTTGGGGGCCTCCTGGGGGCCTCTTGGGGGGCCTCTTGGGGCCATCTTGGGGCCATCCTGCGGCCTTTTGGAGGACATCGGCCAAGGAAGTGGGGTTCCCTAATTACAGCCCCCCCCAGGAGCTCCAAAAATCGCTTCCTGGACCCCTCTTGGATCGCTCTTGGAGCGCTCGTGGCCGCTCTTGGAGCCATCCTGAGGCTCTCTTGGGCCCCTCTTGGAGCTATCTTGAGCCATCTTGGAGCCATCTTGACGCGTCGGATGTGCATCGCAAGCGAAAAAGTGAGAACACCAAACACATTGATTTTCCCTAGGGTTTTGAAGCATTTTGGCCTCTTGGATGCATCCTAATGATGCTCCTGTGGGCACTTGGAACCGTCTTGGGGAGTTCTTGGAGCATCTTGTAACATCATGGGGACCATCTTGAGGCATCTTGCGCCATCTTGAGCCATCTTGGAGGGTATCTTGGGCTCCCTGAGGCCCTCTTGGAGCCGTCTTGGGCCATCTTGGGCGCTCCAACGCGCCGCGGAACCCCCTGTCCAGGTCAGTGGGGAGGGGTAGGGGGAGGGGTAAACCCCTCCCCGAAGGGGAAGAAGGAGGGGTGGAAGAGGAAACGCTCTAAACCACCGACGCCCAGAGGGCTGGTGGGATTATGCCAGTTCTTATGATATGGGATGGGCGGTTGGAATGCGCGGGCCCCGCATATTCGTTCGACCTGGCCAACTTGACTCACTAGCTTACGCCACACGGCCGACCCTTTGGGGCCGTGGATGCCGATTTTTTAACTGATCGTATGAAATCGATTCATGTGTTGCTGCTGTTGTCTTCCTCTCCTCTTCCTCTTCCGCTTTCCCCGCGGTGAACCCCGATACGTTTCAATATCACTCCCTCCTTTCCCGCTTCATCCATCTTCGGTCGCAGTCGTCCATCCTACGGGAACGCCTCCCCGAAGACAGGTGGCCGGTGCACCCGGAGCGTCAAGAGCTGTGGTCGTTGCGCTTGCGATGGGCCTCTCGTCTCTCGTCGGGTCCTCGATTTCTCTCGTCTTCGCCTCCTCCTCTTCTTCCCAACCATCCTGTGGTGTTGGGTTCTCGTTTTGAAGAGACAGCGCCCCGTGTCTCCTCTCCTCTCCTCTCCTCTCCTCTCCTCTCCTCTCCTCTCTTCTCCTCTCTCCTCTCCTCGCTCCCCTCCTCTCTCCTCTCCTCTCTTCTCCTCTCTTCTCTTCTCCTCTCATCTCCTCTCCTCTCCTCTTCGCTCCTCTCCTCCCCTCTCCTCTCCCCTCCTCTCCTCTCCTCTCGCGCTCATCTCCTCTCGTCTCCTCCTCCTCCTCCTCCTCCTCCTCCTCCGCCTCCTCCCTCCTCCCATCCTTGCCTCTGCCTACCGACTGTCCTCCATTTCGGCGCACCCAGTGCAGCGCTTCGTGGCCCCAAAGGGAGCTCCACCGAAGGCCCCAACGGCAGGGTCCAAGTGGCGGCGCCGCCCCATTGTGGCGCACCCCTCACACGGTTAGTGGCTTCATAGGGAGCTCCACCGAAGGCCCCAGCGGCAGGATCCACGTGGTGCCGCCGCCCCATTTTGGCGCACCCCTCACACGGTTCGTGGCCCCATAGGGATCTCCACCGAAGGCCCCAGCGGCAGGGTCCACATGGCGGCGCCACCCCATATTGGCGCACCCCTCACACGGTTCGTGGTCCCATGGGGAGCTCCACCGAGGGCCCAAGTAGCAGGGCCCACATGGCGGCGCCACCCTAATTTGGCGCACCCCTCACAGGGTTCGTGGCCCCAAACGGAGCTCCACCGAAGGCTCCAGTGGCGGAGTCAGACATGGCGGTGTCGCCCCATTTTGGCGCACACTCACGCGGTTCGTGGCCCCATAGGGAGCTCCACCGAAGGCCCAAGCAAGCAGCAGGGTCCATATGGCGGCGCCGCCCCATTGTGGCGCACCCCTCACACGGTTCGTGGCTTCATTGGGAGCTCCACCGAGAACCCAATAGCAGGGTCCACATGGCGGCGCCGCCCCATTTTTGCGCACCCTTCACACGGTTCGTGGCCCCATCGGGAGTTCCACCGAGGGCCCCAGCGGGAGGGTCCACATGGCGGCGCCGCCCCATTTTGGCGCACCACTCATACGGTTCGTGGCCCCAAAGGGGCTCCACCGAAGGCCCCAGTGGCGGAGATCGTACGACGGAGTCGCCATTTTGCGCACCCCTCACACGTGTCGTGTCCCATAGGGAGTTCCACAGAAAGCAGCGCCACAACACGGTATTCACAATTGCACATGGTTGGGCCTTTCGCCCGGATAGTTCTTCCTCCTGTTTTCTTCGATCCGTGCTCCCATAGGTCTTTGATTGTCAACCGTCGATCCTACGACAAAGCCGCCCAGATGACAGGCATCCATAGCTCTTTCACGCTTGCGAAGGGCCTCTTGCCTCTCGGCCAACCCCCTCTCGTGGAGGCGGTTTGAAGCCGCTTGGAGGCAGTTTGTTGGGGCCTCTTGGGTGCCTCTCGGGGCCCCCCAGGGCCGCCCGAGGCGCCTCTTAGGCTGTATTGGAGCCATCTTGGGCTGCCTGGGGCCCTTATTGGGCCGTCTTGGGGTCGTCTTGGGGCAATATTGGGCTGTCGTGGGCTCTTCTTGGGATCCTCTGGTGTGGGCGTCTCTTGGGCCGTTCCAGGGCGGTCTGGGGATGTATGGGGGCCCCCTTCGAGGCCTCTTTGCCCGTCTCGGGTCGATTTCCACACTTTTGAGGCAGTCTGCAGAAAATGTAAATGTTTTCCATCGGGGATGGGGCAAGTTCTGCTCGTTGGGGCCCTCGTGTGGAGTCCTCTCGAGGCCATCTGGGATCGTCTAGGGGGCCGCTCGGGGCCTTCCGGGCCGTCTGCCTGCGGCACCTTGTGGGCCGTATTGAGGCCCTTTTTGGGCTCGTTCGACCTGGCTAACTTGACTCCTCCCCCGGCTCTCTCTCCTCTGGCTCATCCTCATCTTCGTCCTCCTCCACCTCCCTCCTCCCAGTTCGTGGCGGTCCTCGGTCCCCGACTGTCCATCCACAGTCCTTCAGGTGTCTGCCCGCGACGCTTCACTTGCCAATGGCGATGCATCCCCGATTCTATCGCTCCCGTTTCCACCTGTTCCCCATCCTCATTTGTCCCTCTCACACATCATCGCTTCTTCATCCCGTGCTCTATGCTAATGTGTTTCCCCCTTCTCGCTCCATGCGATTGCCTGCGAGGTTCGATGCCCTTGGGTCAACATCGAGCTCGCCGAGATTCGGGGCGGAAGAGGATGACGCGGCTCACGCCCTTTCCCTACTCGCGCCCCGAAGTATCTTCAGCGTGCACAGGATGTTGACTCTCGACGTGGGACTCTAAGGCGGAAGCGTGCGGGCGATCACGTATGAGGGAACCTGCCACACATGCACACCGCTATTGCTTTTCACCAGACAGTGCTTGCACTTAGGGGTCCTACTCCGAAATAGGGGTTCAGAGGGTATATGTGTAGCGAGCATAGCGAGCGTGCCGCCGGCGTCTGGCTCAAGGTGCCAGCGCCCGATTTGCCTGGACCGCTAGTGGATCTTGCGGTCCATTACCTCGGGGGTGGACAGACCTCCTACCCTGACACGTCGATTAGTGAATTGTCCGTTTTCGGTTCTCGAGAGGGCGCCGCGGCCGTCATTTTCCAGGCTGGCGCCCGCCAGGTTTGGGCCCGAGGTCGTTTTCACTAACCCACGTTTTACTAAAGGGAGGTCTGTCCATCCCCGATTACCGTACCTAAAACAAGACCCGATCAGTAATCTGGATGGTACACCATCTTGCGCCATATCTTAAATATCTTACTGCATGGTCCTCATCCTGGTTTTTACTTGGTAGGAGAGCTGGCCCCACTAAGTTTTGTCAGCTCTGTGTCTCGCAATTCTTATTCACGGCACCGCTTGGTATGCCGCCGACACCGCTGCGACGTCAGAGCGTGACTACTGGCAAGCAAGCGGAAACGTCCTTACCGCAAACGCAATATCCACTATGGGGGACATCCGCCTGACCACTCCGAAGAGCGTATACACCCTGGCTTCACGCCGCTTTATTCCAATTTACGACGAATTTGGACGCAAGTTCAGGTACCAACTTCCACTGCGCGGAAGTGCGAACCCCATAATCTTGAACCAACATGGGGACACATCTCCACAGCCAATCCACCGCCTCACGGCGATAAGCACATCGAAAACCACCAACAACAACGTCCAAAACGTTTCGTGGAATTCTTATTGAAAGTATGTTACGTTCAGCATTCTTTAGTTGGCCATCGGGTGTGCGATAGGATAGATGCAACGTGGTAGCCACAACGATGGAGGCGATAATGCTACAAGGGGCCCATACTGGGACCCCTCAGGGAACGTCTCGTTCCTCGAGTTTACTCGTGAAGTGCATGTATGGCTGAATGCCACGAGCCCCCGCCTGACCCCACAACAACAAACTGCATGCCTGCAGCGTGGCCTGGGTGGGGTAGCATGCACCATTTCGATGCGAAGCTCTGTCCAGATCATTAACTACGGCGTGACAATACAAGGCGTGCAGGCTGACCCCGTCACGTACACAATGTTTTCCCGAGCGCCACATTCGAGAACCTCGAGGATGAGCAACAGCTCACCTTAGGAACGGTGCTCATAGACTTCAGGCCCGAGCTTGGCGAGAGAACGGGCTTTACCCTCGCCAGGTGCGAGATGGCCCGTCTCGAGGCTGCTCCAGTCGGCTTTGCCATTCCGAACTTCCGGTTGTCTACAACGGTGCTCCTTAGAGAGCCTTCAGCTTCGGCCCTGGCAGGGCTGCGCAGGTGCTTCAGCCCCTTCAGCGGTCAGATGCCACGGGCCCAACCAACATTACGATGACTGGTTCGACCGTCTGCGCAGTTTTGGGCATCTGGCGGAGCGTGCTCCTGGCAATATCGGAAGCGTGTTGTTGGGAAGCACAGGGCGCGGAAACGCGAATACATGCATGACCAACGCCGGCGGAGACGCGGCCGCGCCCAGAACAGGTGGGCCGATTACCCATGCAGTTCAAAGGAGGCCACTGCACTACTCGCGACGGCCCCTCAGGGTCCTGGAACTGGCAGAGGCTAGTCAACGTCATCAGCAAAACAGGACTGGGGACAGTTCTTTAATCCTCAGTCGTACACGCTTCCTGAGAGCCTGACTGCCTTGTGGGGTCAATTCTCCAATGGAGATTCGCCCGTCGACTCTGGGACAGATACTGACACTTTATCATGCAATGGAACCGAACGGATAGATATGCCAGACTTGCCGCCCAGTCCCGATGATGAGGAAACCGTTGAATACTTATTCCTAGGCTGCTAACACGCAAAACGCCGCTGGAGGCGCTTCATCAAGAAGCCCTTACGGCGTGTGCGTGGGATACTGCGGAGAGTATTTCGCCAATGGGGGAAGGGTCGTGGAAAAGGTGGTCGTCGCAACCGACGATTACACGGAAAAGGCGTCGCCGCATGTGTGGCCCAATTTTCCGAAGGTGGGTTTGAAAAAAACTTCCTGGCCGAGGGTCGAGGCAGACGCCATTCCACGGGAAAGGGAGCGTGCGGGAAACTCGACCCCATGGGCCGAAACGGGAAGAGGATGCTGTGTAACCGATGCGGTAGCGACGAACATTTTCAGAACCAGTGCGACTCGAATCATTGGTCCGAAAGATACCCGTACCCGGGGCCAGCCAAGGTGAGATGGGCCGTCCGGGGGACTGGGCGCCTGCTATTGTGCCCGGTCAGTTTGCCCCGCGCGCGCCATTGCAGCATCCGCGTGTCAAGACGCAACGGCGCGCTCGATGGTTGGGTGTCTGATTGCAGCGACACGCGTTGGTTTTTGTGAGGGACGTCTCGGGGCATCGTGGTGCGTGCGCGGCTCAAAACCGCCCATATGTGGTGGCGCCTGTCCCAATTGATGACAAGATGCGTTTCCTCGCCATCATCCTGGCAACCAATGCGTCTGGGCATGCCCTGAGGAACGACGTTGCAATGTCGCGCCCCCAGGGGGCCGCAGCGGCCACGTTGGGGGCGGTTCTGGAGGGCATGTGATGTGCTCGAGAGCGTTTTGGGCCTGCCGCCACCTCGGCTAGGTACGGGGACCTGCCTGAGACCACCGAAACATACGCGGACCTAGCTGGGGTGGAGCTGCGACACCCAGGCTAGGTACGGGTATGTTTTTCCCCACATCCAAAATGGGGTTCTTGTTTTGTCTGGGCACCCCGCGCAGGAACAGGAACCCACCTTCATCATCACTCATTCCTCACTCACTCACTCATCATCCCTCACACACTCACTCACTCCCTCCCTCCCTCCCTCACTCACTCATTCACTCACTCACTCACTCACTCACCCACTGACTCATCAGCACTCACATATGATGATGATGATGATGATGATGATGATGGTGGTGGTGATGATGATGATGATGAGTGTGCGTGTGAGAGAATGTGATGATGATGATCATCGTCATCATCACCAGTCAGTCAGTCAGTCAGTCAGTCAGTCAGTCAGTCAGTCAGTCATTCACTCACTCACTCACTCGCCTTGGGCTTCGTCTGTGACTGAATTATAAGGAAGTCTCAGGCGGGAGCCCCCTCCCTATGGGGCCCGCAGATCATGTTACTAATCCGAGCGGGTCATCCAATTTGTGTAATTGTCGCCACTTTTGGGTTCTCGCGCTGCCAGAACGCCATTCCCAGGCCACATTTGTGAGTGAATTGCGAGGAAGTTTGAAGCGGGAACCCCCTCTTTATAGGGCCCGCGGATCATGTTTTTAATCCGAGCGGGTCATCCAATTCCTGTAACTGTCGCCACTTTTGGGCTCTCGCGCTGCCAGAACGCCATTCCCAGGCCACATTGGTGAGTGAATTGTAAGGAAGTCTAAAGCGGGGGCCCCCTCCTTATGGGGCCCGCGGGTCATGTTACTAATCCGAGCGGGTCATCGAATTCCTGTAACCGTCCCCACTTTTGGGCTCTCGCGCTGCCAGAACGCCATTCCCAGGCCACATTGGTGAGTGAATTGCGAGGAAGTTTCAAATGGGAGCCCCCTCCCTATGGGGCCCGCGGATCATGTTTTTAATCCGAGCGGGTCATCCAAGTCCTGTAACCGTCGCCACTTTTGGGCTCTCGCGCTGCCACAACGCCATTCCCAGGCCACATTTTGAATGGCCCAGAACCAACTGTAGGCCACTTCGTGTTCTTCGTGCTTCCAGAACACCATTCCCGGGCCACATTTTGAATGCCTGGAGCCAACTGTAGGTCACTTCGTGTTTTTCGTGTTCCCAGAGCACCACTCCCGGGCCATTTTCCAAATGTCCGGAGCCAAAGGAGGGCGAGGTCGAGGGCAACGTGGGGAGCGGGGGGAAGGCCCGCGCCAGGGCGAGAAAAAATATACGCAGAAGAGACAGCCAGGACGCCCCACCAACCACGAGGACGACGGTGAGGGCTTTTTCCAGATTCGCCCAAAAGGATTCTCATGTGGGGTCTTTCCGTCGGAGTAATTGGGTTTTCTGGCCTCTGGCGACCTCGCCCAGCGCTCAGAGCCGCGATGTCTCTGCATCGATCAATTCGCGATTGGGCGGTTGTCGCGCTGTGACGTTCGCGCCAGATTTGTTCGCATGCACCCCCGAGTGCGCGTTGATTCCTCAACGCCAGGATATGTGTCTCTGGGGGCGCGCCTCCTATGCAGCTGGTCTACATCTACAGCAATCAACGCGGGGTCGGCCACTCCGCCGATTCGAGCGCACGCGCGATCGGTGCTAACGTGCGCCTCGAAAAGACAGCGGCCTGCAATGTTCGATCGGCCGTCGCTTCTACACCTGTGCAGCCGCCGTCAGCTGCCACGAACCGCCCCCCCGGACCCTTGCCACCCTGTCTAGGTAAGGGTAGGGGTGTTTTTCGCGCTCGAGATCGGAAGGGGAAGGAAGGGGAGACAACTCGGCCCGTTTGACGGTTCAAGAGACAGTTGAGGACGTAGAGTACGTCGATTGGCCTGAACTCGATCCCCCTGCAGCAGGCGTCCTTTTTTATATGCGTCCATTGCCACCGAGACGTGTTGACTCTTGCGTTCGACGGCTTGCTCTCCGACTCAGGCGGAGACGCTGCTGCGTGCGATGGGGGCATCTCCGACGCTGAAGCGGCCTCTGCTACGCTGGCCGAGCTGCTCGGCGCTGGCCTGCCCAATATTGCGGAAACGCACGGGCAGATTCCCTTGGCAGAGAAAACTATGCCGATGGGAACATACGCGCTGCGTGGAAACACG